CAAAGCCAGACAGCTCACCCATCGAGAGAGGCACCAGCTGAGCTAACAAGTCGCCCGGGGAGATGCGACTGATAAGAAGCTGAGCTATCAGCCTCTGCTCAGCTGTCAGGCTGTCTGTGCAGATGTCCATTATATACAGGGACACCTGGGGCAGGACAGAACACAGCTCAGCTTCACGTTGTCACACGTTAGGGAATCGTGGCTTTGTTGCCATTATCTGGGGCTCGGGGTTTACTCTCGTGACAGATTAAAATCCGGCTCAGTTTTTTTTTGTGAGCCTCTGTTTAGATGAGTCGCCAGTGAACCCCGAAAGCCTGGTCTGTCACCAGAACAGCACAGAGGCTGGCGGGGCGGGGGGGGGGGGGGGGGTGGAACCTGCGTTCAACAGCTCATCCAAAGGACAGCGTCTCTGACACTGTGGCGCTTTCTCTCCCCACACACCCCCACCCCCAGCGCTGGGCTGGAGAGTCAGTCTGGACTGAACGGGGCACAGACGGAGAGGAAGAATTACCGTTGCTCAAGGTCTCAATGTTGGGCTTGAACCCACAACCTTCAGACCCAGTGGGGAGGTGACCCCCAAGCCCCACAGGGAAACCACAAGGTCCCATTGAGGTCACACGGGTCTAATTGGGATCTGGGGATCATCCCGAGGGTTTTGGGGTGTGGGGTGGGCTGGGGGTTTGGGGTTTGTTGGGGGCTTTTGATCTGTTTATCCCGGTTTCCTCTCCTTATAAATATGACTCTTGCCTTATCACTCCCTCCAGTGGTCAGTTGTCAGTTGTGGTAGAACAAGGGAATGGCACCTATAATAATAATAATAATAATCCTTTGACCCGGCGCCTCATCACGTCTTCAAGACGTCTCAAAGCGCTTCACAGAATATACCGTGAGGTGTAGTGACTGTGTAGTTTTGTGGGGCGAAACCCGGCAGCCAGTTGCTCACAGCAGCGTCCCGCAAACAGTCGTTGGCTTGCGTGACCAAAATATTATTATTTATTGATCTATATATTTTTTTTTGATCTGCTCCACCCTTCCCCCCTTACCCCCCCCCCCCCACCACCACCCCCTTACCCAACTTACACAGCCTTGTATAAATTTGATTCGAAATAACAAACGGAGGAAAAATAATCAAAAGCAAATCCCTTTTTTTATTACCTGTTGACATTATGGTTTTTTTTCAGCGTCTCATGTCACGTTCTGTTCTTCCAACCGCCTCCCTCTGATATTGTCTGCGGGAAAGTAATTAACAGGCAGGAAGTGGATGGCCACCGGCACACAATTGGGGTCTCAATCTTTAGTGAGAGAGGACAGACGCTGCTGACGAAATGGAATAAAAAAACAATAGATTGCTCTCTCCTCTCCCAGGGTTAAACGTTAGGAGTTGAGCTCACAGACCAGCCTGACTCTCCAGCCCCGGGGCGGTGGGGGCGCGGAGGGAGGCGGGGAGAAGAGACAGAGAGCGCCACGTTGCCGGAGACGCCGTCCTTCGGGAGAGACGTTAAACCTCTCACTCCCCCGTCTGTGCCCTGTTCAGGCGGACGTTAAAGATCTCGAAAAGAGGAGGGAGTTTCTCTCTCTCTCTCTCTCTCTCCCCCATTTTACCCCCATAAAATCCCTCGTTCGCCTCGCAGCTGTTTGCGGGGATCTTACTGTGCGCAAATTGGCTGCTGCATTCGCCCGCAAAACACAAAGTCAGCAGCTGGGAGCAGCTCCCTGGGAAGTGTCTGAGATGCTTCAACATTATGGGCGCTGGGTTGAATGGTACCGTGTTATTATTATTATTATAATACTAATATCTAACACAGGAACCGGGCAGTCAGCTGAAGCCATGAGTGGAAACAAATGCTCCGTGCTTCCATTTACTGTCAGGTCAACTGTCTGTGACCAACACATGCGGGAGTGCAGATGGCTTATTGAAGCGACGAGGCTCAGCTGTCTCTCACTCGCCTCCCTTGTCAGATACAAGGCTTCCCCCACGCATGTCAGAACGGGCACAGCGCAATGCATCGATTCCTTCACACAGTGAGCACGCACACACGCAGTGAACACGCACGCACGCGCACACACGCACACACAGTGAACACGCACGCACACAGTGAACACACACACAGTGAGCACGCACACACAGTGAGCACGCACACACAGTGAGCACGCACACACAGTGAGCACGCACACACAGTGAGCACGCACACACAGTGAGCACGCACACACACAGTGAACACACACACACACAGTGAGCATGCACACACACACACACACAGTGAACACACACACAGTGAGCACGCACACACACAGTGAACTCACACACACAGTGAGCACGCACACACAGTGAGCACGCACACACACAGTGAACACACACACACACAGTGAGCATGCACACACACACACACACAGTGAACACACACACAGTGAGCATGCACACACACAGTGAACTCACACACACAGTGAGCGTACACAAAATACACAGTCAATTCACTTTACAGTATATTCTGTGAAGCGCTTTGAGACTTCACAATGACGTGAAAAGGTGCAAGGATTATTATTATTATTATATCCTCTTACAGGGTGGAAATGAAGGGAATAGGTCTCAATGTGTGAACGGAGGAGATAAACAGTCGGCCTCACAAACAGGATGTGAATGACCGAGTTAGCTATAAAATCTACAATTACGTTTCAACACAAGGAATGATGGCGCATTGTTTTTTTTCTGCCCCAGATGTTTTATTCGAACCCCTGTCTCGTGTTCATGATTAATGGGGATTGGCTCTTTCATAATAAGTGTGTCAGCCTGGCACAGTGGGTGTCACTCTCTCTCTCTGTCTCTCTCTATCTGTCTCTCGCCTCTGAAACGGAAGGTTGTGGCTTCAAGCCCCCACATCGGGTCTTGGAATCACACAGTCTAAGCTGAGGCTCAAATACAGCACTGAGGGGGTGTTGCAGTGTCGGAGACGAAGTCCTTCGGATGAGGCGTTAGTTCTCCCTCTCCGCCTGTGCCCCCTTCAGGTGGACAATCCCACCAGATAAAATCAGTCACTCGCTCCACGGCTGTTTGCAGGGACGTTGCTGGGCGCAAATTGGCTGCCGCGTTTCGTCCACAAAATGCACAGTCACTACACTTTACAGCAAATCCCTCTGCAGGGCTTTGAGTCGTTATGATGATGTGGTAAGGAGCTTTATGAAAATGCAAGGATTATTATTATTACTATTGCTATTACTATATCGACACAGTTTTGGTAGCGGATAATTAAAATTCACACTGGAATATAACCCACGGAAACCAAACTATGAAACTGGGACCACATTAAAATTCTCCCCTTTCCTCCCTCGATTTTGAATTCCTGACAAGCAACGACTGTAGATTAAATTTCCTGTTGCCCCGGGAAAAACAGTCTTGAAAGCAGTTATTTAGAGAGCGGGAGGAAATGGCGGATCAGTGGCGAAGTATTTCAAAAAATGAAAAAAGAACGGTTGAAACTAATTGCCATCCCCGGCCTCTGCATTTTATTATTGTGCAGTCCTGCAGCTCGGTGGTTAGAGCCCTCTCCTCGCAAGCGAGAGGATCTGGGTTCAATTCCCGGGCAGGTCAGAGCGAAACCTCAGGCGAGTTTCCAGAGTCCACACACACACACACACTCACGGACACACACCCTTCTGTTTACCAGCAGCAAAGAGTAACCTGTTTGTTAGTCGATTGGCGGATCGCTTTCTGGGGGTATAATCCTTGGTGGAGTCCTGTGGCTCAGTGGTTAGAGCACTCGCTTTGCAAGTGAGAGACCTGAACTCAATTCCAGGCAGAGGGCGAAACCTTGGGTAAGTTTCCTTACTCCACACAGAGCCTAATAATAATCCCTCCAAAACCCCAAAACAATAATAAATTGGTCATTTTCAATCCACGACTGTTTGTGGGACATTGCTGTGCGCAATTGGCTGCCGCGTTCGCCCACAAATATACAGTCAATTCACTTTACAGTGTGTTCCGTGAACCGCTTTGGGACGTCCTCCTGACGTGAAAAGCGCTATATCAAATGCAAGGATTATTATTATTATTATTAAAAATACATAATAATTCGGTCTCTCAATCCGCGACTGTTTGTGGGGGACATTGCTGTGCGCAATTGGCTGCTGCGTTTCGCCCAGAAAGATGCAGTCAAGTCACTTTACAGTGTGTTCTGTGAAGCGCTTTGGGACGTCCTCCCGACGTGAAAAGCGCTATATCAAATGCAAGGATTATTATTATTATTACTCTGTGAAGCGCTTTGAGACGTCTCGACGATGTGATAAGGCACCGGGTCAAATGCACTGTAATAAATAATCAGCGATGAGGGCTAAATGTCAATCCACTTCCACAGAATGCACTGCCCAGTGGATTAACTGTGAATTTTGTCATTCGAGGTGTGGGTGAGGATTGAGATGTTTGCAAACATCTTGTGGGTTTTTTTCTTGCAAAACAACCAGAAAAAGCTGAATGGGGAAAGGAAAGCCAATGATGGGGCAGTTTGGCTTTAAGCTGTGGTTGGTATAACACTCCTGTGGGGGGGGGGAGAGGGTTAGATCACTGCCACAGCGAGAAGGGCTGTGTATTACATGAGACAGAGACACACACACAGACAGGAGACATAGACAGGAGACACACACACACACAGGGACAGGAGACACACACAGAGAGACACACACACAGAGACACACACACACAGAGACACACACAGAGAGACACACACACACAGGGACAGGAGACACACAGACAGGAGACACACACAGATAGACACACACACAGACAGACAGAGACACACACAGGGACAGGAGACACACACACACACACACACACAGACAGAGACACACACACACACACAGGGACAGGAGACACACACACACACACACAGGAGACACACACACACACAGAGACACACACACACACACACAGACAGACAGAGACACACACACAGACAAAGACACAGACAGACACACACACACACAGGCAGAGACACACAGACAGACACACACACACAGACAGAGACACAGACACAGACAGACACACACACAGTGATAGTGAAATGAACCCTTTGGCATTTCAGATGAAACCTTTTCCCCTCTGAATCTGTGAATTTGGGGGGAAACTGCCCCAAATCTTTCTTTCTATCAAAACCCTTTATTCCAAATCCTCCTTAATCAGAATTAAGTGCCCGAGGATCTGAGAGTGAGAGAGTGAGAGAGTGATTTTTACACACAGATATATATATATATATATAAGGCATTACGTTGATCTCAGTTGGTGAGACAGTGGAGTATCAGAGGCAGAGAGAGAGAGAGAGAGAGTGAGAGAGGGTTCATGTGGATGTGTGCAGATAAAATGCGGATAGAAGCTGTTTCTTATTTTATTGCACACAAATAATAGATGTGAGAGAGAGACAGAGAGAGACAGAGAAGGGGTGAAGCCCGACAGCAGCTGATGTGAGCTGCACAGTCTCAGCAGCTGATGCTGATCGCTTTTTCTTGGCTTCTGAATCTCCAGTTCTGACCGTCTGCTGAGAGCAGGTAAGTGATCTCGACATCTCCATCGCTTGGCCAAGTCCACTTGAGTGTATAAACCGTTCAACAAAACCTCTCTCTTTACTATTATTATTATTATTATTAATATAGTTATTATTAATCTGCAAAAAATAGCTCGTCTGCAATTCTCTCTCTGTCCCCCACCCACACCCCTCCACCACCACCACCACCACCACCACCACATAGGTTTTAGATCAAATAGTTGCATTGTTTAATAATAATATTGTCAATAGTAATCCCGGCGTTTGACCCGGCGCCTGACCGCGTCGTCGAGACGTCTCAAAGCGCTTCGCAGGGTACGCTGCAAAGTGGGTTGGCTGTTTTGTGGGCGAAGCGCGGCAGCCGATTGCGCACAGCGGTGTCCCCACAACAGCCGTGGATTGATCTTTGCAATGTTGTGGGGAGGTGTGTGCGCTGTGTGGTGGGGGGGGGGGGTGGGCAGAATTGGGGCAAAAAGGGTAAGGACTAAGTTTGTTTAATAATATATTTATTTTTAAAAAATGTTATGATTCAGAAGAAGAAACTCCAGCCTTTCACCAGAGGAGTGAAAGGCGCTGACGCGATGCAGAGGATAGATTTAATGTGTGTATGTGAGGTCTACAGCACCAAAAAAACATTTGTGCAGTGCCTTTCACCTTAAAGCATTAAATTAATAGTAATAAGAATCCCGGCGTTTGACCCGGCGCCTGATCGCGTCGTCGAGACATCTCAAAGCGCTTCACAGGATACACCGTCCAGTGGAGCCACCGAGTATTTTGTGGGTGAAATTAATGAGAATTAGAGAGTTGAGGGGATGATGGGCGGGGGAGATTGCTAATCAGAAAACCTGCCGTCACAGTCATTTTGGGGGTTAAAAGGAATTTGCCAAAAAAACATACTAACCCAGGAATGGCTTTTGCGCAGAGACACGTATACAGGGATTCCATACGGCACTTTGATGTGTGAGAGCGAGAGAGAGAGAGAGAGAGAGAGAGAGAGAGAGAGATTGCCACAGTACGGAATGGATGGCGCTGCTGATTTGTGATGGAATCTTGGCTATGGCTATACACACCGCTTTAATGTAGAAAAGAGCGTGTAATGCTGCACTGGGGTGGGATAGCTTTAGCGCTCTGAGATCCTACCCCATGAAAGAGGGGGGGGGGGGACTGTATGACAACGACAACTTATATTTATACAGCGTGATCTGAAAGAGGGGGAGGAGGGGAGGGGGCGAGGCGGAGGGATTGGGGGTGAGAGTTCAAATCGAATCAGGTGAGGCTTCGCCCGAACCATTATTTTAACACTTGAGAGAAGCTGCCATTTCACCCCTCGTGTTAGGTGCATGAAGTTAGTAGCTGGAAGAGTTTAGCTCAGTGAAGTTGGCTTCTGACTCGCTCCAACATCTGGCTCTGACTCTGTCTCCCTCTCTCTCAGTCTGAGCTGTCAGTCAGCTCTCCCCCTCTCCCGCTCCCCGACTCTGACCCCGGCAATCCCTTCATCTCTCTCTCTCTCTCTCTCTCTCGATGTCCCGGCCAACAAATCCCCCAGATGAAAAAAATGCACTCGTTCACTTCACGGCTGTTTGTGAGGCCATCGCTGAGCGCAAATCGGCTACAGAGTGCACAGTCACGACACTTTATAGTAAAATCCTGTGAAGCGCCTTGAGACGTCTTGACGATGCGATGAGGCGCTGTATCAAATGCAAGGATTATTATGGTTTACTGTAAATTGTAGTGACTGTGATGTGTTTTGTAGGCAAACAATCAAGCAAGCAATTAAGAAACAACAAGGGGTAGAAAACACTATCGGGTGTAGTTTATAGACCCCCAAATAGCAGTTACAGTATTGGGCAAGGTATTAATCAGGAAATTAGAGGAGGATGTAGCAAGGGGAATACACTAACAGCGGCTGATTTTAATCTTCATATAGATTGGGAAAACCAAATTGGCGAAAGGTAAATTAGAGGATGAGTTTATCGAATGCATTAGAGATACTTTTCTAGAACAATATTGCTGAGGAACCGACCAGGGAACAGGCGCTCCTGGATCTTGTTTTGTGTAATGAAATGGGGCTAATCAGCAATCTGGAAGTTAATGCTCCTCGAGGGCAGAGTGACCATAACATGACGGAATTTAACATTAAGTTAGAGAGTGATGTAGTTCAATCCGAAGCAAGAGTCTTAAGTCTAAATAAAGCCAAATTTGCAGGTATGAGAGATTGGTTAAAATAGACTGGGGAATTAAACCAGCAATGGCAACCGTTTAAAGATATAATACATATTCCCTTGAAAAATAAAAATACCACGGGAAAAGTGTTTCAACCGTGGCTAACTGGAGCAGTTAGGGAAAATATATAATTAAAAGAAGAGGCCTATAATACTGCCAAAAAGAGCAGTAAACCTGAGGATTGGGAGGGCTTTAGAGATCAGCAAGGGAAAAGCAAGAAACTGATTAAGAGGGTGAAAATGGAATATGAGAGTAAACTCGCCAGGAACATAAAGACAGATTGTAAGAGTTTTTACAAGTACATAAAGAGGAAGAGACTATCAAAAGTGACCGTGGGTCCAAACTTACCGAAAATAGAACGGGAACGTGGAGGGTAATGTTAGTGAGGAATTTAAAGAAATGAACATCAGTACAGCAATGGTACTAGAGCAAGTGATAGGATTAAAAAACGATCAATCCCCTGGACCTGATGGCCGGCATCCCAGGGTTTTAAAAGAGGCGGCTGCAGAGATAGTGGATGCTTTGTTTTTGATCTTCCAAAATTCCCTGGATTCTGGAATGGTTCCCAGTGATTGGAAGGTTGCAAACATAATGCCGATATTTAAGAAAGGTGGGAGAGAGAAGATTGGGAACTATAGACCAGTTAGTCTGATATTGGTGGTAGGGAAAATTCTAGAGTCCTTAATTAGGGGCGTTATCATGGGATACTTAGAAAATCCTAACATGATTAGGCAGAGTCAACATGGCTTTACGAAAGGGAAATCATGTTTAACAAATCTTATAGAGGGTTTTGAGGATGTAACTAACAGGTTAGATAGGGGGGAACCAATAGATGTGTGTATTTGGATTTCCAGAAGGTGCCACATAAAAAGTTGTTGCATAAGATTAGAGCCCATGGCATTAAAGGCAATATATTAGTATGGATTGGAGAGTGGCTAACAGGAAGAGAACAGAGAGTAGAGATAAACAAGTCCTTCTCAGATTGGCAAGATGTGACTAGTGGAGTGCCACAAGGATCAGTGCTTGGGCCTCAATTATCTACAGTTTATATCAATGGTTTAGATGAGGAAATAGAACTTAACATTTCTAAATTCGCAGACGATACGAAGATAGGTGGGAGAGTAAGCTGTGAGGATGACACATGAAGAATGCAAAGGGAAGTAGACAGGCGAGGTGAGTGGGCAAGAGGGTGGCAGATGGAGTATAGCGTAGGGAAGTGTGAAGTTATTCACCTGGGTAGTAAAAATAGAAAAGCAGATTATTTTCTAGAGGGGGAGAGATGGTGTTGTTAGTGTTAGGTAGTGTTAGTGTTCAGAGGGATTTGGGTGTCCTTGTACACCAGTCACAAAAAGTTAGTGTGCAGGTACAGCAAGCAACCAGGAAGGCTAATGCCATGTTGGCGTTCGTTGCAAAAGGGTTAGAGTACAAGAGTAGGGAAGCCTTGCTGCAGTTGTATAAGGCCTTGGTGAGACCGCACCTAGAATATTGGGTGCAGTTTTGGTTTCCTTATTTAAAAAAGGACATACTCGCCTTAGAGGGGGTGCAGCGTAGATTCACTAAGTTGGTTCCTGGAATGAGGGGGTTGACCTATGAGGATAGGTTGAGTAAACTAGGCCTATATTCTCTAGAATATAGAAGAATTAGTGGTTAATCTTATAGAAACCTATAAGATCCTTAAGGATCTTGACAGGGTAGATACCGTGAGACTGTTTTTCCTGTTGGAGAATCTAAATCTAAGGGGTCATAGTCTCAAGATTAAGGGTCAGCCTTTTCAAACTGAGTTGAGGAAACATTTCTTCACTCAGAGGGTAGTGAACTTGTGGAATTCTCTACCCCAGAAGCTGTGGACGCTCAGTCCTTGAGCATATTCAAGACTGAGGTTGATATATCTAAAGGATAGAGGGATTTAGGGATATGGGGATAGGGCAGGTAAATGGAATTAGGTTAGAAGATCAGCCATGATCTTATTAAATGGCGGGGCACAGGCTCGAGGGGCCGAATGGTCTACTCCTGCTCCTACGTCTTATGGTCTTAAGTGCTGTAGCAAGCTTTCATCTTAATAATAATAATAATAATCCTTGCATTTGATACAGCACCTTATCACGTCGTCGAGATGTCTCAAGTTATCCCCTCCTTTAAGGCCCGTTCAAGACCCTCCTCTTCGACTGTGCCTTCGGTCACCCTCCTAACCCCCCCACCCTCCCCGCCCTCCACCCCCTCCTGATCCCAACCCCCAGCTCGGGTCCAAATCCCTGACTGTCCAGCGCCTCGGGAGGTGAAAAGTGCCGTGGAAATGTTGTTTATTGCTGTTGCCACCAATACGTGCGTGTTGAGATCTCCTTGGAGTGAGAAGACTGTGTGCGTGTGCGTCTGTGCACACGTGTGTGCGTGTGGGGCGGTGGGGGGTTGCATTTGTGACTGTGTGAGACTAGAAACGCACTGTAAACAATTCCCCTCCAGCCTTGGTCTGCTGGGCTTTGCGAATAAACAGGATATCCTGGGGTTATTTTAACCTTGCTTACAAAGGGAAAGATAAAAAGGGGAAGTGCGGTTGATTTTTTTTTGTGTGCTGAGCAGATATCTTGACGTCGGGAGCATAAAAGTGACTGAGTCATCAGCTTGTGAAACTCTCTCTCGCCTTCAGAAAACAAAACAGTTTTTCTCTGCACAGTCTCGTGAACAAATCCCGGCACAAATACAGCGTTTCACCCACAAAATACGCAGTCGCCACACTTTACAGTGTGTCCTGTGAAGCGCTTTGAGACGTCTCGACGGCGTTAT